ATTTTGGTTTTTTAAGTTGCCCTAATCTCTTAATTTAACATAAATTAACTTCATGATTTTATAATATAAATAAATAATAATTAAAAAAATTCTTTTAATCTAAGTTAAAATACTTTACAAAAACAAACGAATAAAAAGAAAAAAAAATTAATTGTAAACTATTTATTATATGAAATTATTTGATTAAATTTGATGCAAATGTCAAATTAAAAGACAACTAAATCAGGAAGTCGTTATTGCCTTTCAATGTTATATATATATGTTTTTGGACGACAATTTTATAATCACATGCAGTTCAAAATTAAAAGAAAAACCTGTTGAAAGTATCATCTCTATGAGTCAGCATATTGAGATAGTCCCAATCGTTGAATTGATGCCGAGTCGTCATCCACTTAGTGCAATCACACTATAAATAAAGACACTAAGGAAGTCGATTCATTGTGCTCAATTCCAATTCCTTCCTTCTACATTTACATTTCTTTCTCCTTGAGATATTTATAACATATATATTTATGGAATTTCAATCATTTAAGTCCATTCTTCTTTTGCTACTACTTCTTTGCTGCGAAGTAGTTGTCATGGGGGGAAGACAAATAAAATCAACGTACAGAACAGAGTCGAAGCAAAGCAGTCCGACTCTGAAATCAGAGAATGGTGGTTTTGGTGATTCGGCTGCAGTTTATTGGGAGGGTGATTTCCACCGGGCAACAACCCCTGCTGACAATCCGGCTGTCGGCCATCCATTTGATGCAGAAGGGGAGGGATTTGAGCATTCTGATAAGAAATCTAACTATGTTTTTCCACCCCCATCTCCGATTACTAGCCCAGGGGTAGGACAGTATCTTGCAGACAATGAACCAGTAAGCAGGAGTCCCCCTAGCATTGATGATTTTCTTCGTCCCACAACACCAGGAAATTTGTCAGGAGTTGGACATCATTCTTACGTACAAGAAAAGGGGGAGAATGACGAAAAATTGGTAAGCAATAGCTCAAGCAGCACTGATCAATTCCGACCTACAAATCCTGGCCCCAGTCCTGGTGGTGGTGGCCACTCTGATCGAAACTAAAAATTTGAAGAACATAAATTGAGCTCTCCACTGGCAGCAAGGGAAGCTCTTAGGACGTGTGTTTAATTTTTCCTTTTCAAATTAGGTTTTCTCGGTTGGTAAGCAGTTTGCAATGTAATAAAAAGTAGGTCTCCTGCAAGTTAAGTGCGTTGTTGTAATATATGCATGTGTCAAATGCCAATAGGGAAGCAGTTACTAGTTTTAAGCAAGTTTGTTTACGTTTATGTTATGTA